TTTAGGGAAAAAAAATTGTTTGTTTGATATCTTGGCCAATTATAGTCTAATTTCGGTGAAATTCACACACCCATAAGACTTTACATTCAAGAGTAAGCTCTGTAAGTGGCATTAAAACAATTCAAATAGTTTGGCCGTTATAGGCAAACAATGAAATTAGGCCCGCGATACACTTTGCCCTTCCGCCATATGCCCAATTTTGAGATTTCTCTTACCCCCTTCTGGGAATCAATAGTCACATCCCTTATGTTCAAAACGCATTTTTGTTTTTTTAAATATCTTAATTTTTACTAAAGTTATGAAGAATTTAGTGTTTGAACATTTAACAAATTCAATTTTTCGACCTTCGCCGCCTCAAAATACTAAACAAATTTCAATCGTCCATACCGCGAGAACGGTGCATCGGATCAAAATTTCTCAAGAGACATAAAAATTAGCATTTTTTTTTATAATTTCAAATGTCGTAAACTGCGTTTTGAAAATATTGATTTATTTCCGACATGCGCCTGCGCAAAATTGAAAAATTAACAAAATCCAAAATTTCGGCACTTTCGAAAAACAGCTACATTTTGTTTTGCCTTTTTTCGCTCAAAACCCGTAATTTAATCCGATTACAAAGAGATGTAGGCTGCTGTAATTTATTCAATTCGTTGAAATATACCAGTAATGCTTTTTCATTTGTAATATTTAAAATTTTCTTATCTTTACACCATTTCTCATATTTGTCATAAGTTAAATGATATCTCTCACGTGATTTCTGTGGTACTAAATTTTCTATTACATTCTATTTGCTGCATTTTCAATATCTTGTGGAAGATCATCTTCATTTGAAGACATAATTGATAATATATATATGTACTTGTAATGGTTATTTGAGCGACATTAAGTCAGAATTTATACGATTTTAAACGCCACTTTGACAGAAGTTGATTATTAATTCCGTTGCTATGGTTACAAAATACTGACAGGTTACTTGTATTCATAAATAGTCAATTTTAACGATATGCCGACATAATTTTATTCAATATAATTTCGAATTTTCGGAGTTGTTGTTACATGACAGTTGTAGATAAAATATTGTACAATATTCGTGCCGGTAACACATTATTAATATACTTATAATGTTCATACCGCACTTATATCGTAAATATCTATTATGCACGACTGGGCGTTAAAGTACAGACTATAAATACGTTTAGCGGCCGTAAAGTGTCCCTTTATGGCCCGTGGACTACTTAACCGCCCGAAGTATAAAATAAACCAGTTCTATAACCACTACTTGTTAGCTTAGTATCTTATACGTCTGTACATTAAACAATTTTGAAATCAATACAAACCTTCCTAAATTATGATAATTTAATTTGGAGTCTGCACTATTCTCTAATTAAAAAAAAATTAATTGCTTTAACATTTAAGGGTCTTACACGATGCGGTCCATAAACGCCTGTTTTACGCCTTTGATACATAAATAACTAATATTACATTATACAGTGTGTCGCATTTAAGATGAAGACACCCCAATATTTTGTCTAAATAAATACAGATTTTAAGTTTTGCACAGTAATACAGGGTGATGGTTCATATTTTTTAAGATACTCAACTGAAATTTAAATATTAAACGCGGCCTACTGCGAATCCACAAACAGGGTCAATTTTAGATATTTTTCTTCGCGTTAGAGATATCAGAAAAAGTTGTTCAGAATATTATTCTTACCCCACATACCAAATTTCATGACAAAATTCGCATTTTTAGTTTTTTCATTATTTTTGTCAATACACAAAATTATTAAATGTTGATTTTTTTTATTCGATAAACTAGTGTGCCGTGGATAGGAATAATTTGATACTTGTGAAATCAATAATGTCAATCATGGCACACTAGTTTATCGAATAAAAAAAATCAACTTTTAATAATTTTTTGTGTATTGACCAAACTAATAAAAAAACTAAAAATGCGAATTTTTTTATGAAATTTGGTATGTGGGGTTAGAATAATATTCGGAACAACTTTTTCAAATAACTTTTTCTGATAACTCTAACGCGAAGAAAAATATCGAAAATTGACCCTGTTTGTGGATTCGCAGTAGGCCGCGTTTAAAATTTAAATTTCAGTTAAGTGTCTTGAAAAATGTGAACCCTCACCCTGTATAACTGTGCAAAATTTCAAATCTGTATTTATTTAGATAGCCAAAATATAGGGGTGTCTTCATATTAAATGCGACACACTGTATATGATATTGTCACTAGTAATGCCACTAGAAATCAAATTATATATTATATCCGGATTTTTTTTCGAACTCACGAATATTATGAAAGCTAGGTGCGAGAAAAAATGTTTGGGTATAATTTAGAATGGGATTAGGTAAGAAAATTTCACAACAAAGTGAGTTTATAATATAAATAGCTTAAAACTTTTTATTAACATAGAAATACCAGTTTTAGATTTTTATATCTGATTTGAATTTATTTTACTAAAAATAGTAGAAAATTATATTTTAGCGATAGAATGTGAGGTATAACTTTTTTAACTCATTTACGTGTATTGTATACTTTTATACAGGGTGTTTCAAAATAAAGTAACGTAAACCTGTAGATCTTAACTAATTATTAAGAAATGTTGAATGTAATTTTTCTGTATACATCCCAGTTTTTATTCTATAGGGCGATAAAGTGAATATCATAAATATCTAATTTTCTAAATACCTTCTCTTACGGTAAAGATTTTAACTTAAAAATATGTAGTTACATGTAAGTTAATCGCAATTATTGTAGCTAACACACTATATTTTAATACATTAAGATAACCAATTGGCGTAGAATTAAGTGCTAAGAAATCAATTTTTTCCCAAACTTTTTGAACGCCCTATATTTCAAAAAAGGTAAGATTAATAATTATTTCTCACGCAAGTTGCCACAAAAAAGAGACTCTTGATTGATCTCTGTAGAACATTCCATTTCCTAGATTTTTCAGTTTTAGGCCTATTCAAACATGAAATCTATGTATAATTTTATCAAGGGCCGATTTCATAATGAATATTAAAAGGTCCATTAACCAATGAGATAATAGGACCAAGTTCTTAAGGATTTAATGCATCCATTAGGTAATGGATCGTTTAATATTGAATATGAAATGGGCCCTTAATAAAAATTATTCAAAAAGTTTGGATCAAAATTGTTTTCTTAGTCCTAGATTCTACGCCAATGGGTTATTGTAATTTATCGAAATAAAGTGAATTAATTAGCCTTTTTCCTGGGAAAATTTAAAAAAGATCCGCTAGGGGCAGCACCGGTGGGGGGTACATATGTGTCGAATTCTCTATTGACAACAACATCAAACGTACGTTTTATTATTATTAGAGTAAATAAATATTGTGATAAATAAAATTAAAAAACAAATTGTCATGCCTACAAAACATTGTGCGTTTGCAAATTGTACGTCTGACAATAAAAGATGGTGTAAAATTTGTGCCTTTTATAAAACCACAATTTGACCAAAAAAGTGTTTGGAGTGGATACATTTATCACGAAGGGCAGATTTAACAGTTGAAAAAATAAAAAAACATTCTTTTATTTGTACAAGACATTTTATTAATTCAAATGGACCAACAATAGAAAACCCAAATCCATTGCCAGCGATAGTAGTTTCAAAGGTTAGTAATTGTTTATTTAAAGAGGTTATATTTTATATCAGTCTACATATTATTATCAATAATGAACTTAAACTTCTTTTTAATTGTGTATGAAATATAAAAGACAGCAACGATGTATTGAAGAGGACTCGGGCACTGGAAAAAATAAACATCAAAAACTTATCTGTTCTACTGTTACTGATGTTGAATCACTACAAATTAGTAATAAAAATGCTAATAGTAATCATGAATCACAATTAAATAATGATTTAGACTCTGATCTTGCACTTTTGCAACTTTTAATTAGTAATGTTGATTAACTAACAAGTATACATATTTTTAAATTAAAGTCTTTACCGTGAGGGAAGATATTTAGAAAATTATGTATTTAGGAAATTCACTTTATCATGTAGAATGAAAACTCGGACGTTTACAGAAAAATTATATTTAGCTTTTCTTAAGTCATGCATATTTTGATGACAATTTGTCAATATCAATGTCGACAAAAGCCGTTAGTCAAATCTGCAGACTTTCTATTAATTGTACGTCGAAATAGTTAATTCATTTTGTGCAAAAATGTCGGTTGTTACACATAACCGCTTATACCGTTACCGTACTATTTTTTATTTTTTTGACGATACCATTGAAGAATACGGTAACGAATTGTAGGAGAATATTTTTTCTCGATCGTCCAGCAGGGTCTTATAGAAAAGTCAAGAAAATAAAGTAAGCAAGAACTGAACAAAATTGTTTCCAAATATTACCTGTATTATTTAAAACATAAACATTTAATCATTAGAGCGTAGGCAATAAAAGAATAAAATTTGTAGCCAAAAATTGTGTTTCTAAAAAGTAAATAATTTTGTATTGATTAAGAGTTTTTATTTTGTTAATAGTAAGTAATATAGAAAGGTTAACAAAACGCACTGCTTGATTGTTGACAGTTATTTTATAAAATAATGTCAAAAGATTTCCACTGTAATACCATCCATGGTAAGACAAAGTTTCAAAAAAAAAAAACAGGTTGCCATGGCAACCTTAAGAAATGCTTTTATTTTATTGCTTGAACAGTCATGGCGTGACATTTTCAAAATAATACCACTCATCTTTCGGGCCAGTGGAATTCATTTTTTATATAATTTGTGTTTTTCTGAGATTCACTAAACTATCGCAGTTTTTTGGGTTATTTTCTAATATGATTTCATTCTTTTTTTATAAATTCATATAATAATATATTTTGATTAGATACCTATTGAACATTGATTGATTACATCGATCTTTATACCTATACAATCGTTATCAACCACTGATATTTACTTTGACTAATATTGAACCAGATCTGCAGGTCGATAAATTCAGCAAACTTTTAGCTGGCGATGTGAAATAAAAAACAAATTGTCTTTTGGCGGCGACAAAAAAAACCCACGCAATTTCGATTTTATTTTCGATTCATCGATTACTTAATTCCGATGAAATAGAACTGATATATTTCATATATTAAAAAACAAGTGTGCAACTGCCCCGCCCCCGCCTTATGTCAGCATAAAGACTAACAGTTGAGAATCGACGCCTCAGTAGCATCCCGACGCCGAGTATATAACGTTCAGCAACAATCATGGCAGTAAGTACGATTTTTCCCGATTTTTCAGTTGCATTAAAAGTTTTCGTTTTCACGCAGTTTTATTTTTAGAATATGATATAATGTGCGTTTGCCATTTATTACATAATTATTTAGCCATGAAAAGCTTTAATAATTGGATATATTTTTAATGGCTTTCTCACTTTTGATTGTGCAAAATAGTTTATAATAATTTGTTTCGTTATTTTATTGACATTGTTGACAAAATACGAATTACTCATCATATTTACTGTACATTATGGTTGCTTGATTGTCATAGTAATTGATTGCTTTAACTGGTTTTGCTATTAATAAATCCCTGATTTTTCTGATTCACAATACCGAATCCTTTGAAATCCCCGATCAACAAACAAAAACTACTCCTGCTTTTGGTGAAGACGTCTGTGGTACATAGAACTTAGAGGGTTATTTTTTCCTGAACGTTAATCCACAAAACATAATTCAAAAATTGGTTTATTTTTAAGTGGTTTGGAATCAAAAAATTACTTGTCTTGAATCGGTATGAAAAAATTATTTAGTATAAAGGGAATTTCAGTCAAAAATATCCACCCTATATAATTTTTTATAAAAAAATACAAAAATAAGTCAAAAATCATATAAAAGGGGACGTCTTTTTTCTCATGTATATTCGTTCTAATATTCAACCCATCCTACCCATGACCACTCCCATGTTTTTTTTTTCAGTGGAATTCCCTGCATATTAGTGCAATTTTATATTCTACTTTATGTAAAGTGAATCTTTTGGAAATTGTGTTTTTGCGCTTTTGTTTGCGCTCTTTCTCGTTTTTTTTTTTCTCTTTTTCCTTTTTTTTCTATTTTTCCTTAAGACAAATTCATAGTTAAATTATTATTAAATTTCTTAATTTTTATTCAGCGATTTTGTTTAATTAAAAACCTTTAAAATACGACATATAATCAAAATCTGTTTGGTTTGTTTTTGTTTTTTTCAAAAATGATACCCCCTAACGAATAAGAATGAGTATCTTTAGTTCTAAAGGTCTCTCTGCTCAATCTCTACAGTATTATTATGGCTGAGTAGTTTTTAAATTATCCTGTATAGACATGGATGTTGCACTAGATTATCGCACTATATCTTGTACAGATATTTTGTAGTCCTCCTTCCTTAAAGTCAATTTAAACCTAGTATGTATTCGAAAAGATTCTACGTGACATGCAGTTTATTTTTCTCTATCAAATACAAGATACAGTATTCTAGTTAGACTTTTCATCTTTTTGACATTATCTGTACTCAACTTTTTCCTCTAAAACAATGATAATCATAATATGTTTGCTGAGCTTGCAATGCCCTGTTAACAAACCAAGTAGGCTACTGTCTTCCTATCTTTGGTCACCAGTGGTATTGTAAATTTGGGCGAGTGTCCTTTCAAGGGGTTTGGGTCTCAAGGACAAAACTGCCCATTCAAATGATTTTTCTAGTTACTTACGTTCTTTTAGTCTCAAGCACTCGGTATGATAAACTGTTTTGCCAATCTCTTTTATAATAGTTTTTTTTTTTAATTCCTTTAGAGTATTCTAGGTCTTTCAATAACATTTTCTAGTCTTACTTAGCTATTTCGCCTGAATTTTCATTTTTATTAGTTTTTAGCAATACTTGTTTTATTCTCATTTTTGTTTTACAAAAGAGTGTAAAATATTTAAAGTTGTAGCATGGTCCAAAATAACCAAAAAAGTCTTAATAAACATATGTCCGCAAATTAATGGTTTCGGAGATATGAAACCTTATTCTTTTTTACATCCTTTTTTATTTTGCAAAAACATTAATACTAACATTTTTCGTGGTAAGATAAAGTACCAAATAAATTGAAACAGATTTTACAACTCGATAAAGGGTCGGCAACATTGTCAAAAATGACAATAAACGAAATTAATGAATTGATGAACGGTCAAAAATGAAACATAGCTGCAACTTTAATATATTTTTCATTTCAATATTTAAGATCTAAAACTGAATTCGCAGCCACTTATGACTCCGGCAAAGAAATTAATTACTGTTAATTAACATTATTTGGTCCCATTTAGTAAACAAAATATTACCATGCTTGCAAAATCATAATATACTCTCTAGTATTGCCTTAAGTGCCTGTGAAAAAATTTGCAGTTCATTCTGATGCATTTTTTATAATTTACAAGAATTTTCCTTTTTATTTATCTGAAAATAATTCGGCAAAATTGTGCAAATATTAATTGCAAACAGACTAAACTAGCAATAATAAAAATTTACAAAATATTTATTAATGCCGAAGTGAGAATTAGTGTTCCTCTTGTTTTATTTTCCACGGGCAGCTGCTTTATCCGTACCGCATGTACAACGAGTACAAGACCTTAAATCCACTTGATCTTCAAGCATGTTTCGTTTTTTGCCGCTGGTTTCTACGCAATGATGTTTTTCTTTTGGATGGGTATCGTAGACTACATGTTTCAAGGTCCTATTGTATTATGGGCTGCAAGATCGCCTATTTAAACCCATTAGAATTTTTTTGGGACATTTGAAAGCATTTGTTTATAGTAGATACTCCTATAAATAACCTTGAGGAGCTGCAACTACGATTAATAAAGAATGCCAACAAATCCGAGCCAATAAGGGGATTTTAGGAATAGTTCAATATACTTTAGAAAAAGATGTCGTGCATTCATGGAAATGGAAGGCCGGAACTTTGAATATTTTTATTTTTGCTAGAAGCTTTTTAGCTGCTTGTTTGTACATAATAAATAAGTAATAAATAATTGCAATTAAATATGTTTCAAAAAGGAACAACCACGATATATCCAAAACCAGTACTTTTCACACCTATTTTTATTAAAACCTTTTTTATTTTGGCCCATACTGGTGTATTGTACCTCCTTAAATATTTTAATCTTTTGTTAACACCCTGTATATCTTAAAAATAGGGAACTTAAAAAAATAAATCCTTTCAAAATATTTATGGAAATATAGTTGAAACCGACTGTTCTTGTGATTTCAGATTTAAAAATAAAACTCTTTAAGTTTAGTTAATTTTGTCGTGACTTTTGTAAGTAGTTCGAAAAGGATTTGAATCCTAAAAATAGAAACGTAAAGCTTATATCAAAAAATAACAAGTTTCTGGAAGGAAAATTTTCTAAATTTACCAAGAGTATTAATTCACGATAGTAAAATACAATTCTCTTTAGAAAAGAAAAACATACTAATAAAAACACTTAAAAATTATGATTATTTAGAGCGGTAATCCTACTAGATACAAACAACATACGCCGACCGACATCTAAATTTAAAAATGTTTCCACAGGAAAGAAATCACATTTTATTTTATTTCGACATTTATTTGATATTAAATTGGTGGGCTCTGTCGTATAAATCACCTTCCCACACAAAAATCCCCTGATAAAAATAAATTTATTTCGATAAAAACAATATTTTGACAACCTATTTTGACATTTTGATGAACTGGTTTGAAGTAAGCAATAATTGTTTACAGATTACTTTTTAAACTTTAGCTACTATACGGTACATTTTAAATGATGAAAGAAAGCTTGAAAAGGAGGAGGAAGAAGAAGAAGAACAAGAATAAAGTGGAGGTACAAGGGAAGAACATGTATAGACAATTAGATAACAGAAGAAGTAGAAATCGTAAGACACTTCTAATATTAATTTACAATTACCTATAGCACGCTGGATAGAAATAAGCAAACATTTAATTTGTTAGTTTTTGTTAGAAAAAGCTTCCGCTTCAGAACTCTTGAGGAGATCAATATCTTTAGAGGTTTAAAGCACCAAGAAAGAAGAAGATAAAAAGCCTGAAGACCACAAATAGGTGAAAGGATAATTTACAAAATGGTGTTAGCAAACAGTGGATGAAAATTTCCAGAACCTGAAATGTGTAGAAACCTGTACCCAACAGAGGACAAAAGCAGCCGGAAGAAGAAAAAGAAGAAGATGAAGAAGCAGCTGAAGAAGAAGGAAAATACTAATATACCAATAAAAGGAAAACCTAAATGAGGTAATATCTAAAGGAAATGGCCAACTGAGAGTTCATGTTGAATATAACACACTCCATTTCATTATTATAGTGTCAATATAGCTTATATGGTAAAAATCCATTAGAAGAGGTTTGGCTATGTTTGGCCACCACAAATTCGACTGATATTAAATTCCAATAATACAAGGACTTAGAGACAGTTCACTGCAAAATACTAATTTACATCAGACCGCTCTTTATTGTACACAGACAACTCAGTCTCTGGTACAGCTAAACAGGACTTATTATGGATCGTGAAGATATAAACAAACACCTGAAAACTGTCGACTGAAGACATGTGCTTCGTCCATTCTGATTTTGAAAGAGTAAAAAATAAATATGGAATGGACATTATATAGAAACAAATTCCTACCAACATTATTTGCAGATGTTTTTAATGTCGAGTACATACCTATATAATTCATAATATTTAAGAAGCAAAGCCGAACGGAAAAAAATTCTTCAATCATTTCTTAATCGTGTCAATTTATTAACAGCCTATGTAATTTGTAATATTAAAAAACACAAGTCGAGCGGAAAAATAATTCTTCAATTATTTCTCAATCGTGACAATTTATTAACAACCTAAATAGTTCTGTGGTCGGACAGATTTAGAATAAATACAAAACAAGGAATTTACGAAACAATTATTAGGAGTTTTTGTTGTTGTACGCAGAATCATAAACTGAAAAATCGTACAAAAAGGATAAACAATGTTACACAAAGCATGTAGAAAATATGTATAAATTATAAAGAATAATGAGTAAAACGAAAAAAATAAGAATTTAATCTTAATAAACAAGAACATACCATAGACCATAGAAATCAAGAACAAAAAGAGTACCTACCTACCTATAATTAGAAAAGAAAACTCAAATGGTGTGGATACTTGATAAAAATGGCTGGTAAAGAGTTAATCCGATAAAGTATGGGAATGGCAACCTAGCAACTGAAGAAGAAAAAAAG